TGGCGGCTGTGCCCCTTACCCCTCCGGCAAGCCTGCCCAACGGTAGCAGCTTTTCCGTTTTTATTTTAGCCTGCTCCGGGCCTGAGGTGTCTGTGGAGAAGAGGAAACGGTTACGGGAGCAAGATATTTAATCCTTACCAACCTACGGCTTCCAGCACTCCTCTCAGGCTTCCTGCTTTGCCCCTTCTGAGGACGTTTTGATACATTTTATACGCACTGAAGTGGTGAGAGAGCCGCTCCTGTTCTGAAGTTAAAACAACGTGCCTGCAAAGGGGGAAAAAAAATAAATCGCAAAAAAAAAAAAAAACCCGCTGTGTTCCCTATGGCCATCTCTGTGATAGAGCAGAATTTGAACTTCGGCCCACGGGCACAAGTTTCCTACCCCTATACAACTCATATTCTAGCCTTGATGTAAACGCTGGAAAAGCCATAAACAGCCTTACAGAGAACAAGTGATATGGTTGTTGCCAATTAGTCCATAAAACATTTCTCTGACACTTCTATTAGTGTGTTAATAAGATTGACTTTGAGGAATGTTTCAAAGGGTATCTCTACAGTACTGAAAGCAATCTGAACTATAACAAAGCCCCAATTTCATTATAAATGTGTGACAAAACATATGTACGCTTTCAAATTGAGAACTTTTAAACTTGCAGAGTTTTCTCCAGAACATATGGATGATCATTAATTTTTTATTCAGCAAACGATACATGAAAAAAAAAAAAAAAGACGAGTGGAAGGCTGCATTCACTACCCCATAATTGCATGTACCACTCCAAACTTTGAAATAAGTTTAAGCATGTTTAAAAAGAGCATAAGCTCTTATCAAAGACTGAACAAGCCACCTATGAAGTCAGGCTTTGCACAATTGCTTTGAAGCTTTAGATTAAAACATGCACCAGTCCCCTAAGGGCTGCTGACTCACGGGCAGATATGCTAAGGCAACACACGCCTCTAAAGCAGCACTACTCTTTGCTCTTGTCTTCCCAGACTGTCTTGGCGTTTGTTACACACGAGTTGGGATAACTGGAAGAAAAGCACCCAGGGATATCTTGGCTTGGGCTTTTTCTTTGGCAAGTGTGATAGTAATAGGTTCTCCCAATTCAAATTGACAGATACAGGCAAAAACATGGATCACGTCACTGGTCACAAAACAGATGGGGCTAAAAAAATAAAGGCACGTAAAACTGGCAAGGGGCAGAAACAAGCAAGCTGGGTTAGAGAGCGGCAAGTTTTGTAAGCCATCATTACCATGAAGAAAAAAAAAAAAAAATCACATTCTCAATGGAGTAACAACCAACACACAAAGTGTTAACTTAGTAAATGATGATAAACCTGTCTCCACCTCCAGAAGGAAAACAGAAGAAACAACGCTTTTACCCTACCTAAAAGGAAGACCATCTAGGTCACGAATGTGGAAAGGCTTCCCAAGCATAGGCTTGCGAAATACTTTTAACTACTGAAGGCTACTTCTTCAGCGCATTCAAGAACAGGTTAGACGAGCATGTCAAGAATATTTTTGGCCTCATCTCAGTACAAATGCTTCTCCTAAAGTCAGTCTTGACTCTGCATTTCTACATTTCTGTTGCTCCACAAACACAAGCAGGTACTTGGCACTACTAGGATAAATCGTCCAATAGACTTCATGAGACTATACAACTCATGTAGTTGGAACATATGCTCAGGTATTTTGCTATATGCCATAGCAGAGTTATACTACCATTAAAGTCACTTAAACACATGCTGTTTTGTATAGCAATTGAGTGCTTATTTCTTCAATTCAAAAGTTACAAAATCACAGGGAAAGCCATTGCATAAAAACAACAAGGTTTCGAAAATTTAGATATACAAGCAGCTTATTGTTGAAAAGCATTCAAAAAAAAGTCTGACTAGTGACTCGCCATAAATTCTCTCAAGGAGCGATGTCTAGGTTCTTTCCTTTCATTATGGACAATTCAGTATCTGCAAGACTAATCACAAGCACAGCTACTCCTGATCAGTCTTGCACTCACATTCATAACGTTAGCACAATAAATATATTAACAAAAATAGACAATCACCATAATTCTCCATTTCCACACCAATATGTATGCAAAAACTAGAAATCGGACTAATAATTCAGGTATCAACTGAGCAAATACAACAGAGCTAGGGTACTCTCTGCTGGATCTGACAGTCTTACATTGGTAAAGAAATTACAACATATAATACACATTTTCTATTTCAACAAATTGTGAGTTAAAAAAATATATATACATATATATAATTTTTCCATTATCTACCTCAGTTGCCAAGAGAGACATGGTGAATAAATCACATTAGACAATAATACATGTGATTTAGACATGCGGCAGTGTTTTGCTTTTATTTCGGAACAACAAACGCTAGAACCTCCAGGAAAACAGCTCATACAAGAACAATTCAGTGGTTTGGAAATACTGGAACCAACGTATCACATTTAGCCATCAAAATAGTTATACTTGGAAAGAACTCTGGTGTTCTGGACACATGTAGAACATGTGAGAAATTACCTGTGTCACATGCAAAACTTAAATTAAGTTACACCATATGGACAATTACAAAAAAAAAAAAAAAAACACACATACATACATACAGAAGAGACATCATTACCACCAAACACAGGTCATTCAAAAAACAAAAACCTAGAAAACCACCAAAAAGCACATAAATTTATCTTGAAGATGTTCTCCATTAAAGTTTTAAATTAATTCCAACTTGTGAGTACTTAGAGAGAAGTATTTTCTGGAAGTCAACATGAGAATAGAGGTGATAAATTATTATAATACTAAATTGTAAACAATAGTGAAATACTACTACTTCTGTTGACTTATTTTCAGTAACTTGTAAACAATATTTTGGAATTTATAAACGACAGTGAGAAATACCTTCCATCTATATTATTTGAAAAATAATTGAAGAGTATTCTAAAAATTCATTTTTGCCTTCAGATCTATTGTTTTAAAAACGATTTTAAAAAGATATAGCATTTTTTATTAAAGATTAAGGTTTGACAATAGCTATCTCCTTGTTTCTGAGATACCACAGGTTTTCCTATTTCTATTGTACAGTAATTATTTTTAAGTGCTCTTTTTTTTTTTTTTTAAATAGGGGCTGTTTTGATGTTGTTATAATACAAAAACATGATGCCATCTTTATTATGAACACTACCTCTGCAAAACTTACGTTTTTATAGAAAGAAAGCAACCCTGAGGCATGAAGATTTAATTCTATTGGTCAGTCACAACATTCAAAAATAAACTGATACTGTTATATTGTTTCACAGTTTCTGAATTTTGAGCTAAATATATATATTCATGAGGTATGAATAAGCAAACGCTAAGACTTACACACAAAAATACTTGGAAACAAACCACAGACAAGAATGATCGATCTCATACAAGTAACTCCATAGGAATTCCATAAATTTTACCCTATTTTGTACCAGGAGAACAAAGCAGTCAGGCTGTTGGATTGTCACATTGCTTTGCAGATTTAATGTATTTATTCCCTGTCCATGTACTAGAGTTAGTAAATTGCACAAGGAGTTAGGTCATACTCACTGCATGGAGACAAAAGGGACAAATTTAAAGTGGAAAAATGCCAGCTGAAACCTACTTGGGAAAAAAAAAAACCACACACAGGATTTAGGTCCTAATCCTGCAAATATATAGTTACTCAAAAAAAAAGTCCAGAACATTAGGAACAACTTGAGGACTGAACCTAAATAAAGCTTCATTAAAAAGCAAAACAACTTTTGTGCATGGTCCAAATTTCTTGTTAAAAGAAGCAGAGGAAAAAGTAATTTAAGGAGCAACCTCTTAGGAGCAACTGCCCTTTTCTCATCATCTAGTCCATTTTCTTCACATGACCTGGAGACACAGTGTTAAACTTCAACACTCCAAAATGGGAGCGGGAGGGTAGGGGTGTGTGTTAATTTGATCTTTTTTGTTAAAATCCCTCCTCCCTCCAATATGGAAAGAACATTTTGAAAAATATGGTAAATGTAAATTCAGATTTCCTTTACTTGTCAATAATTCCTATACTTTCTTCATAAAAATTACTCAGCTTGTGCCCATGGTATTCTTCAATTTCAAGTTGCTCTAAGCAGGCATTAAAGCCAGGCTGCCAGGTCATATGCCTAGTGTTAATACTATCACCTTTGTCTCAGCACAGAAAACTTAAGGCCTTACAAAATTACATCACTTAATCAGAAAAACATGATGGCTTTTCCAAACAGTAAGTATTTAAAAAACACTTCTGCTCCTTTTCTATGCCCCATTCCAACCTATTTAGAGTCCTTCTATTATCGTGCTACATAATCAAGATGATCAGGTCAGACCATACCAGTCCATGGTCTCACACATAATGGTTCTAGCTGACACCCCTACTTCAGATACTTCTCTATCGAGTCTCTCCTCACTTGACTCTATAAGCCACTAATTTATTCAAACCCTCCTCCTTCCTATTTCTCCCTTTGTATTTTCTACAATAGTCAGTTTCCTGTCCTCTGTGCTGCCTTCAACATCAAGAAGAATGTACTGAAAGCATAAGAAAACTTCCTCATCCCTGTGGCACAGTAGCCAAAAGAAGCAATTTCAGACAGGCACTAGCAATTCTGTAAACTTGCCTTTTTTCCAATTTTTTTCAAATTCCAGCCCTTTAAAACACTAGAGACAAAATACTGTGAATTAACATCAGACAATAAGCTCGACTATCAATTGCATCTTGTGAGCTTCTCAGAAGTAGCTTAAGTTTCTCCCAACGGGTCTGTGGATCACAAGCAGAAAGCTACTAGGTAGAGGAATATTCAGTTGCTCTGTGCGTATAATACAAATGCGGTCCTGTTGGTGCCCTGGAGATGTGGCAGGGGGGGTGGGGGGGGAAAAGCAAGCATGCTCAGTGAAGACAATCCTCAGAATATAGAGCAGAACCTAACATGAAATTATTGTCTCCAACTCCAGGAACATGCTACTGTATTTCTAAAGTCCCTAATCTAAAATTTTAAAACAAAAGAGGCTCTTAATGGAGCAGTGGCAGATATTTCTAACATCAATGAAAAGTGTTCCCTACATTTTTATTCTCATAGACGGCTAAATAGTTTTACCTGAAGTTTTATAAAATAAAAAGGAGGAAACATTTGGCATGCTTTGAGCTCAGAAGACTGGAAATCTGACAAGCTTCCAAGCATCTGGAAACAGTCTTTTACCAATGAATATCACGTAATCTTAAATAAAACCATCAGTATCAGCTCCACATCTGCATTAAACAACCATTAAAAGCAGGCTAACGTTTAATTTTTTAAAGACTATAAGGAAAGATTATTTACATAATTAATTTGATGCCCAACACTACTTTGTCCTTCCCTCCATGGCAGGGATCACTAACATTAGATATTGCAACATAATAAGGAGAGAGGCAGGTAGTCAATAGTAAGATGAGAACATGCTTTCTGGTTTTAACCCATTATAAAACTGTAACATCCTACAGCAAAAAGTTGTAAACAGCTTTGTTTACAGAAAAAAATAAAAACAAATCCTCACAGGTAAAACAAATCCTTTTAGCAAAAGCAAAGTACTCAAAATATAGTTACTTATAAAACTGGCATAAGTCTACTTGCATGGTCCATACCCAGAAACTGTAGGGAGAAGATGTGTGGATGGGCAGGTAAGAAGAACAGAGCAATACAGTCTGTTACAAGGTTAAGCTAAATGTCCAGAATTCTATATATGAGTAAGTACAGATTCAAGACAGTCTTCAGATATAAACAAAAAAGAACATTTCACAATAATAGGTCATAGCACACAGAATTCCTTTTTTTTTTTCCTCCTCCCTTAACAGTTTGAGAGATGCTGGAGAACAACGCTGCTGTGCCGCCAGATAACAGCAGAATTATGAAATCCATCAGTATAGCTATTCTGCTGTTAAGAACACTGCAAATAAAGATCCTAGCAAACAAGAAACAGTGCTTGTGAAGCGTCTTACTAGGAGCATGCAAAGTCATGTTACATTTATGCCACAATTATCATCTCTGTGCTTTAAAATCCTTTTAAGTATTTCTAGGTTCATTCCACTGGGGGAAGAAAAACCAAAAACAAACAAACAAAAACCCAAGATACAAATACATACAGAAACACACATTCACTCAAATGGCACTCATTGCTTTTTGTACAGTTAACTTTTAGTGAAAATATACATCTTAAAACAAATGAAGTACAAATGTACAAAAATCCTTGAACTCATAAAAAATATATATAATACACTTTGCTACAGAGATATAAAACATTCAAAGTTCGCTCATCCTTTCTGATGATAGTAAAATGATTTAAAGCCTGGAGGACTCCTGTTCATCATCACTGCAGTCAGATTTAAAGCAGACCTGCAAGAGAAGACAAAGTAACAATTTAGCTGCAGAACTGGCACTTTTATTGGTCTAGGTGTTTTGTGCAACAGGGAAGGATTTGGGGTTTTGGCTCTTTTTCCAGCACTTTTTGCTCCATACTAACTAAATGCTTGAGGAATAGCAAAGGAAACCACAACTCAGACCCAAACCTCAAGTCCTTAATACTCCATTTAACCTTAGGTTCTTACCTTCTCTTAACGATTTCACAGGCAATTAACTGCAATATTAATACTTCCAAATCAACTGAGGGCTCTCCCAGTTTTAAAGGGCTCTTTCTCAATATAAAAAAAACTATCTCAGGATAGCATAAGTCTAAACCCTGATGATTCAGCTCGATGAGACCACAGTAAGACACAAGTTTTACCTGTAGCTACGTGACATTATTAGTACATTTACCAATTCCATGACTATAAATGGGAAAAAATGAATTCAGAAAGGTGAACTAAGAATGGCAGTATTGTTATATATTCCATTAGCAACATACCATTTTACAGGGAGGAATTACCAGCTGATAACAAAAATTACCATCATGCAATTTTAATACATGGCCCTGATGTGACTACTTAAGGATATGCTCCTAGCAATTTTAAATAATTACATTTGTACTTGTAAGCAAAAGTAATTTCTACAGAAGTGTTCTTTACCGGAATATACTCGTGCTCCTCAAAATAATTTCGCTAAGTGCAGGCATACTGAGCAAGCAGAATAGCGCATGACATCTTCAATTGGAAAAGAAAAAAACCCTAACAAATAGCCTATTTCTCATTATCTATAAGCACGTACAGTACCTTTCACATCTTTTAGATAGCAAAAAATTTTCAGATTCAACTCTTTACACCTCTAAATGTATTTCTTGTATTTCTGAATAAACAAGCTATGCATGTACGAAAAGGCTGTGCGTTATCAGAAACTATGTAAACATCCAGTATGTTGCTGCATAGCGATGGCATTGAACTTCCTAACATATTCTAACATTTGTTTCGTAATACTTCACACTTACTCATTTAGGGGATATCATTGCTTAGTTCATACACTGCAATGATGCACTGGCAGCCCAGCTTTCAATCAGAGCAAGCACGATGAGTTGTGCTGTCCAGTTTGTTAGTTAGTCTCAGTCAAGTTTTCACAGAGAGAACTTAATTAACTTTGAATTCACCTCCCCAGAAGCTTCATAAAAGCCAGCATATAGGTAAGGATCAAGAACCAAACTAATTACCTTCAGGGAGGGAAGATCTACAGCTCAGCTGTTAACAGCTAACTTGCCCTCAGATAACAGCCAGCCAACACAAAAGGAAGACAGAATGCTGAGGAAGGAAAAAGTGGCTAGGGGAACGCGCAGATGGGCTACAGACTCCTGGTATGATAGGAATTGCCACAGTTTCTGAAAGGGGGCGTAAGACAAAGCCATAGTAAACCAGATTTCATTAGTTTCAGTATTCAGAGAACAAAGTTTTTCCTGTCATAAAACAATTTTAAAAAATGTTAAAATTGTTTGGCTATTAAGGTTCTATTGGTAATTTTCTTATGAAAGAAAAGAAATACCCTTACCTCTCCACTAAAAAGTCTGTGAAAGAAGCCTCTCTTTGGTTTAGGAGACCTCTCCCTGTCTGGTGACACAGTACCATCAGTCTCATAGGCATTGATATCTTCAAAGCATCCTGTTTCAATCATCTTTAAAAAGATATTAAATATAAATGAAACATCCATACAAGCCTCTCAGACATGTTCCATTTATCATCCATTTACTCTGGCTGGGTACTCTTAACAAATTACAAACGTATCAGTTACACCTTTATGTTTCCCAAACTACACCACTCAGACCTACATGGAGGAAGGCACAAAGTCTGCACTAAACCTTCTTGTGCACCCAGAGAATTTATGAGCAGCACTATCATGAAAGCAAGCACTAAGATGGCCCCTCACTTTGGTAAAGCATTTCTACAGCTCATGAGGCAATAAGCAGAAGTTTTTAGAACCAGAAGTGAATTTACTCTGTGCCTTGTTAAATATTAGATCTTCCTCTCTTCTATTCTGCTCATTTCAAAATACTGTAGTCTAATAAATATGAACGTGGCTATTTATGACCTGGACTGAACTTTATTAATAAACATGACATCGAGTAAGAGGAATGATTATCTGTGCAGAATCCCAGACTGCTTATTCATTGGTCAGTTGACAAAGCCCTCAGGCAGTGTTCGACTTAACTGATGTTGAATAGAAATAGTTTGGAAACCTTAGAAAAAGGTGAATCTTCAGGCCTGTATTATGTCACTTGGATACTCTATCGGTACACAGGCACGACACATTGAAGCAGCAGCTACCACTGAGCCGATTTGTTTTTGTATAGTTTGAACAGTACTCTATCCCCCTCCTATGAACAACAATACTCAATATCATGATACAAGAATATGGAAAATGCGGTCATACTGATGCTGATGCAGTTCTGTCCGCTGTATCTATGATGACAAGATGCCACATTCCATTTTATGTAAATCAGGATAGTCCTTCCATTTTCTGCAAGTTGTTAATATTCTGGGGAATTCTTTTTGGAAAAAAAATCTAAAGCAGAAACTTCTTCACATATCTCATGGAGAAAGTTGAAAACACTGCAATTCTTTCCCTCATTAACTCTTACTGTTGTGCAAAAAAGAATAATCTTTGAAATATACAGTACCTCATTTTGCCAAGGGATTGAGACACAACCCGTAACAAACTTGGAATAGAAGTCATCATCTGTAGTATCCAGGTTCACTCCTTTTACTGTTGAAAACTGTTCTATGTCCAGGACATCTTTACAATATACCGCACGCGGCTGCAGTACAATACAAGATGGCTGCATTAAGGTCCCTTCATGCCCTCCCCTCCTCCAGATGAGAACAGGGGCGAGATTTCTGCAATTTTATATTCTACATTGCTGATCACCAAATTACACTATAGTACACAATAGGAATGCAAAAGCTTAAAGTATCTTATCGTAAGGCACCCAAGAATTTAAATCCATCCTGCAAATACAGAAAGAGCATGTAACTTATTCTCCAGACTTCTTAGTGGTTGTCAAAATTCATTTGTCCTTTGCCATCTCCATCCACAGCATTTGCTCAGCACCTGAGCTAGGGAAGTAGGGTTCTAAGGGCTAAGAAATCAGCTACAAAGCCCCATAGAGCAGCACCACTACTGTAAACTGTTTTCCGATCTTCTCAGCAGAACTGATCCAGATTCCAATCTTCTCAAACTGTCACAAAACATCTACTCATCATTAGCTAACATGGCATTTTGCTGCCAGTTTAACTAACTTTTAAGGTTTCTATGGGGTTCATATGATTACTGACATGAATTACGACAGTTCATGCCTTTTTAGATACTAATCAAATCTGTCTCACCTACTTACATCTGGCAAGAACGGAGGTTCTAACATGTTAGCTTCCAGTCTCTTGAAGTTAATATTCTTGAAAATAGGATGTTGTTTTACAATAGCAGCTCCATCTTCAGTGCAACCCAGTCGATCCACTGGATTTTTGGCAAGTAACTGCAAAGATAAGAATAAAAAGTCTGACCCAGAGATATTATCCCACCTAAACAAAAACAAAATAAAACAAACACACCTATATACAGAGTCTTTCAATACAGTTTATTTAGTTACTTGGTCTTCTGTTAGATTATTTTTCTCATGCTATCAAAATGAACCGAAAATCCAAACTTTAACAGCAATTTGGGAACAAAGATTTTTCAGGACCCACACACACAAAAACCCAGTAGCAAAAATACCCAGACACTCCCCCTGGAAAAGCAGACTATTATTTATTCAGGAAGTGAAGATTATACCCAAAGATACACGAAGAAATTTAAATAAATGCCAGACTGAATAGATTTTGCAGTACATTAAACTTTGCTTTCATGAAATAGATTTATGTTTATTTCAATGGGTTTAATCTACATATTTTCCATAAAACAAAAAAATTGGGTAACCTTTCTTTCTGTATAGATGTGTTATCTATAACAAGCCACTGTCTTATACAGACTCTTTAACAAAAGAGAATTAGCATGCTGCTCTGCCATTTCTCCTTACACAGTATCAAAGTTGAGCGTGCTATTGTACTCTGCCTATGACTGTGTGGTACAGGAGTACTGCATGTAAAGCATGCCATTTTTCACATGGATTAAAAAAAAAAAATGTATACAGCCTTTCTTCAACTTGAAAAAGGTCTGAATTCTCCAACTCTGATAACATAACGGAACAATTAATGGATTCTCACAAACTCCTATCTGACCCAGAGAAAGATTTAAGATCTCTTATTCCGCATCACTCCGGCTTTGAAAAGTTTTCAATAGAAGATGTTAAAATAAAGCAGTTCAGCTCTTAGAAAGGACTAGATATTTAATTTTCAAACCTCTACGTCTCTTCACCCACCATCCTGCAGATGGATTTTGCCTCTTCTGAGAACTTGTCTGAATATGTTTCCTGGTCTTCCTTTACTCTCCGGTCAATCTCATCTCGTTTGACCCTTTCCTTATGCTTCCTGAATGGAGACTGTCCTTCAATCATTTCATAAATCAAGCACCCAAGACCCCACCAATCAGGGCTGAAGGTATACTTTTCATTTTTGAGCACTTCTGGAGCTACAAAACAAACCAACAACAACAACAACAAAATCCCATGAAAATTTATTTTAAATTAGTTAAACATTGAAAGACTCTCAGGTAGTCTTTTGGCACTGTACAAAGATTCTTTGTACCCTGAATAAGTGTTAATTTCTACAGTGAGGACTCTGTGGATATTCAACAGAAGCTATGAGGTTCTTTAGTGCTTCATATCCATATTGTTTACAAATTGAAAATGAAGTTTTTTCCAAAGCATCAGGAAAAATCCAAGTGTCAGCATCATAAGAAATAGGCTGCTTATCTATTACTCTAAATTTCCTTCAGCCTCAACAGAAATTAGGTGCTTTCTTGAATTTTTACCTAAAGTTAATATTCCCAAAGTTAAGTTTGAATCTAATCAGAAGGCTGACAATTGACTACTAACATCTACCAGCACATACTGTAACTTCTCTTCACACAAAACGTCTAACAACTAATCCAGATCCAATATAGTTCTTTGGACAAGTCATTCATATAGTCAACAGAAGTTTAACCAAACTTGCTGGTAAAACACAGCTAAAGATATTTTACATACCCATGTAACCAACAGTCCCAACCCGCCCTCGGACTGTTTCTCCTTCTGGAATCTGCACAGCTAATCCAAGATCTGAAATTCTGATATGTCCTGTTTATGTTAAAACAAATCATAGATAGTCAGCAAATAATAAAGAAGCGTCTCTTACAAAACAATTAATTTCTTTAGTACACCTCAAAAAACCCCAACACAGGAAAACATTCAGACACCACGTAACACTAAATTTCTTTAGCTTAACTAGAGAGAAATGATTTATCAATGTTCCTCTTACCTCCGCCTTCCCCCCGCTTTTTTTTTTTTTTTTTAAAAAGAGGGAAAGGAAAACAGGCACAGACCTGCTAACCGATTTCCTGAAGGTCACAGAGAAAGATTCACTGTCAAGTATTCTCACAGCCTATGCCAAAGCTAGGAATACTCTATGTTGAATAGGAATTAGGACTACTCATTTTGAGTCTACCTCTCCTATTATGCATGGCACTTACTCTAGCTCCTGTAATGCAGGAGCTGTCTGGTGGAAGAGTGACCAGGATTCATCATGAACAATAATGGTGAGATGGCAAAACAGTTCACAAAGGACCATGGCAACAAGAGCTATAGTTTCCCACCAACACTTATATTCCCATGCACAGGTATAGTTCCTTGCTGAACAGAGTCAACACAAAATGATTCAAGGCAAAAATTTTACTTGACATGTTTCTAATGTTAAAATACATATCCTACTTTCTTAATAAAAATATAAAAGGCTAGGCAGAAAAAAGGAAATTTTCACTTTCCACTGAATTTTAAAAGTCTACCAATCATCTGTAGTAGTCAAATTCAGGGAAAAAAAATGCATACTTTAGAGTAAGGGCTATAAGGACAGGGACAGTGTTGTTCACAGAATCATCATAGATTCACAGAAAAATTCAGGCCGGAAGTGACCTCAGGTTTGACCTCTAGTCAAACCTTTTGATCAAGCAAGGTCAGCTATGAGGTTAGCCCAGAGTGTTTAGGACTTTTTCCATTTAGGTCTAGAAAGCCTTCAAGGATGGAGACGGCACAGCCTCCCTGGGTAGCCGATTCAATGCTTGACTATCCTTTGCACATAATTTCTCCATCTTTCAAAAAGCTCTACAGTATCAATGTTGGGTAACAGTAAGTTAATTTCTACTTTACATGTGTTAGACAACCATAGGGCTGGGAGGCAGGGGGAGGAAGAAGAGAAAGACTGGAGAAAGCTAAGTGTCACTTTGTATACTGGTTGAAAATAACTAAATATTCCAGTGCCAAATGCTATTTTAAAAGTGTTTGGATGCTCTTCTGTTCTCCAACATCTGATGAACCCCTCTCAAGTGCAGGATCTGAGCTCCTGAAGCGATTTTCTAATTAGTCCCCTCTGCTCTCTGGAACAAGATCAGAACGTCCCTGGCAGAGAGAAAGCATTCTAGCACAGTCGTGTAAGGCTACCTTTTTCTCCAAAAAGCTGTCAACTTCTGTGAGACGTTACTAGAAAAAAACACTTAAAAGTGCATTTGATGTCTAGCAAAGTTTTAGTTCTTGGAAAGTGACTTGTTCCAAGCATTTTTTTTTTTTAAAACAATTTGTCATTCACAATATCCTGACTTCAAAAATAATTTTTATTCAACTAAAACACTCAGCAATTACAAGAACAAACTCAGATGAAGCTTAGAAGAAGGTAAATGCTGCACCTGTTCTACAGTGAAGCCAAAAGATTCGGGTACATTTCAGTCGTTTAGGAAAATTAATTTGGCTTTTTGGAAGACAAAAAAAAAAAACACTACAAACATTCCTTCATACTGTTTATACTTCCTTGATTCTCTCCAGCTACATATACATCACTGACCATCAGACCTTCTGCTTTAGTTAAAATGTAAACTACCTTTTCCTCTCCCTCTTTGCTGCTTAAAAACTAAGTAGAATTTTGGCATCACAGCTAACAAATTATGCTTCTGTATTCAAGGATGAAAAAAAGAAAAAAAATACAGTCATATAAAAGTTTTGGCCATGTTAAATCAGGGGAGAGGTGGAAGGAGGAGGGAAGTAGCCATTCTAAGGACGGAAACCGGCCCCTCAATACTACTTCTTACCCCCTTCCCAGCCCCTACAAAAGCCCAAAGTTTTCTACTACTTTCTTTAAAAAGCAAGGGCAGTTTTTCCCTTTATGATGTTAGGTACACTAAGATTTTAACATGTGTCAGTCAGATCCCTGGTATTATAGAGAGACTGTTCAATTCCTTTGGTTTCTGGCACAATATTTATTAGATTTTTAATTCCAAATTTGAAAATGAAAATTAAAGTTTACCTACCACAGTCATCAAGGAGTATATTCTCAGGCTTCAAGTCTCTACAAATAAAACAGAATTAAAAAGGTCAATTATCCAGAGACAAAGCTACCAGCCATCAAGTGCAACTAACGCAACTTAGGACTTCTAAATATGGTTCTCATTAAAAAGGGTTTTTTCAGCTTCCATCAATAAATAAAGGGTTGTAAAATTTGCAGAGTCAAGGATCTATAATATACACAGTTTATCCATAAAACTCTTCAGATGTATTTTTCCCAACTCTCCATCCTATTTACGTTGCATTTAGGACAGCAATTCATACTTCACAGATAAGAGACTTCCTCTACACAACGTGAAAATCCTGATAGGTATAAGTTGGTGGTTATTCCTAAATTTGCACCAGAAGTGAAAGACCTCTCTCACGAGGTCCGTGCAACTCCACATCAGTCAAACAAGTCCTCACTTGCTGCAGTTTGATGCTGACCCCTTGCAATATGCCATCCAAGGCTACCAGAATATAGCAACAGGAAACATTCCTAAGACTTGTTAAGACTAAGCATATGCTGAAGTGTCATTCATTCAAACTCAGTTCCTGCCTGTAATTAGAACATGCTGCTTTTAAAGCTTATTAAGCAGTGGTCTCCAGTTAGGCTTCTTTGCAATCAACCTTCTGCTAAGAGGTTTTTTCTGCTGTCAGCGAAGTTTCACATGAAACATTCTTTAGCTATTAAAAGCTAGCAAGACTCAGGAAATAGTCAGAGGACAAATCATTCAGTGTTGCAATTCTGGACTTCATAACAATCATCTTATACATTTTTAATTTAAGAACAAATGAAAAAGCACAAATATGTTATGATAGATTCAGATCCACCCCCACCTACTCCCAAAAGCAAAAGTTGGGGAGTCACCGAAGTTGACTGAGAAGCTCTTCAAAGGTCACTTCCAAGATTTACTCTCTATCAGACTTTATTCAGAACATAAATATTTATTTAATTTTATCTGTGACATGCACCACAGTGTGTGGGCTGCAATACAGACTCTTAGATTTTTTCCATGATTAATAGCATGAGGTTGGACATAGACCTAATTTTTATATTTTATATATCTATATATACACATACATATTAAAAACACACATATATAGTTTATCCATAAAACTCCACGCATTTTTTTTTCCAACTCTCCATCCTGTGTACAATATATTTACAACAGCAATTCCTATTTCACAAATAAAACTTCCTCTACATAACGCACAAATCCTGACAGGAAGAACCACCAACTTACACCCAAATTTGTGCTAAAAGTCAAAGACTCACTTTTAACAAAAATATAAATTAAAAAAAATCTCACAAATATAAATAACAATTAGTAATTTAATAGATTACTGTATAACTATATTATCGTATAACAATAAAACTAATCTAGATGTAAAAAAAAACCACTATTTGGGTATATGTACAGTTGCAACATAGTTAATTTATATAAAAGCAGAAAACACTGAATAACGCAGAAACAGCAGTTTCAGAAAGAATGATTCTACTATTTACACATTCAAAATAGGAGGGAAATACATACATATTACCAATATATACCATATTACCAAAACATACACATGCATATGTCTGTGAACAAAGAAATCCGTATGCTTGACTTTTTTTCAAATATTGATAAATCCATGCTCTGAGGTATGGGTATTCATGTTGAAGTTTTATTACTTCATGAGATTAACTGTACAAAGGAGTCAGCAAAATGCTTTCCTCCAAATACTTTTAAGTCTAGAAAGTCCCCATAATATTAATCACTTGACTCACTTGACCTTAAAAATAAGACTACAATATTACAGAAGTCAAGAAAGACCAAAGTCAAAAAAGTATCAAAGAGAAAGGTAAGAAAACTTTACTCAAACGTTAGGCAGAAACAAATCTACTTTAAAATACATAATATTTGTTCAAATTAAATCAAGCAAAAAATTGTAAGCAGACTTCCAACTCCAAGAAGGCTGATGAAAGCCTAACATAATACTTAATAGCAACAACTGCTCCTTAATGGAAACTAAATTCAATTCTGGCATGATTTTACTCAGTCAATACTCTGTCAATATTAAAGACGTTGTAGCCAAAATCCTGGCTGTTGAATGCAATTAGTTTCTAGACTTAGCGGTTTACAAGAGGTCAGCTTTGGGAACAGGCAAGACTTTAGGTATCGATTCGAGCTTCAGGATGGTAGCTTTGGGGTATCAGCCTTCTCCTCCTCCCCTTCTGCCACCATGCAGAGGCCAAAGGCACAGTTTCTGCTGGAACACGCAGGCTCCAGCCCTGTCCTCTGCGGCAGGCTCCCAGCTAGGGCTGGGAACGTAATTCTAGCCCGAGAGGCTCAGGCTTCCTTCCTGTAGCAGAGAACAGGGGAGAACTGCAAAAGGCACAAAACTAAGAACTTCACTAAAAGAAGTGGATTAAAACCAATGATATACTTCATTTTACATTGGACTAAACACACTCTTCACTTTTGCTATAGCATACACCAGCCATCCTACACAGAGTTTCTGGATAAGAAGTTCTGAAATAAGTAATAACCCCTAGATTAACCAGAACTATTAGCACGGTTTATACTTTTATTCAAGGATTCTCTGATGCAGGCTGGAATCCAACTGAAGATACCCTTCAGGACATCTCACTGTAAAGATGTGTAGTCTCAGCATCAGCAGCAGGCAGGCAAGGAGCTGTTTGGTTCATCCACAATGGCTTCAATAGGCCATAGGGTGGGGAGGGAAAAAAAATCTACCTCTCCAAACAGAAAACTAATAAAAAAAAATTACCATCATTCTGCAGGAGTCAAGTATCTAAACTGCAATGGTAAAGCTTCAGCAATAGAGTTCTTTGAAGCTAGGCACTTGTTCCCCCCTCTGCCTCTCCCATCTAAATCCTGCTTTTGCTCTAAGAATGATGAGACTTTTGATGCAGCAGATGGATGAATAGCTCCACCACCGCCCGTTCCTGGCTGCGTGTGCACGCACGCATGTGTCAGCAGCATATGGCAAGCTACTGATCGTTTCGCAAGCTACCCCAAATAAGTCAAGCGGCTCCTTCCCTACGGCAGGGCAGCACAGGCCCTCCTCCCAGCTCTGCACCTGCTCGTTCAACCCAGCGGACCCTCGTGACTACCTCGCCTCCAACCCCGCTGTCAGAATGGCACATCTGACTCCAGGCTCCTACAGACTGCTCGAAATACAGTAATAATTGGGACATTGACACATGAAACACCTAATCAAAATTGGTCTTAAAAGAGAGGAAAGCTAGGCCTAGATTTTTCTCTTTATGAGGACTTTGTTACTGATGGCGACGCATCCAAATGTAATAAATATTAACAAGACTGACTTACATGGCCATTCTAGAATCGAAAAAACTACCAAGATTATTGATTTTAGTTCTACCTGCTGCCACCCATTGCACCAAGGATTTCTATTGCAGAAGTTCTGAACTTCCCTTCACCACTTCCCTTCACCTTTAGAATATACTTATACTGTGAATACACACACGGATAGTCACAAAAACATGTTTTATCAGATAAATTGTATAATTGTTTGTAGCAAACAATTCAAGCCATATGATTACAGAGAACTGAATTTAAAACTTTTCCTCTAAAGGTGGAACACAAATGCTCTAACAGACTCTGAGAGATGGCAACAGGAACTGGCATTGATTTCAGACATTCAGTGGTCCTACAAGAATTAAATGCATTCAAGCTGACAGCAACAGAAAATACAGAACGAATGAAAAAAACTTAGTTACCATAGCTGGGAAAAACAAATCCTTGAATGAAAGAAAAGATACTTCACATTGTTCCCCCTCTCACCCCACAACTAACATTATGACTATGGATTACCATAACTTCTCTAGTGTGGATAGAGCGATTAGGGCCAATTTGCCCAAGCTTGCTGTTTCACTAACTGTACGTAGTCATGTCATTGCTTGCTAAATACATTTCCGTTAAAACACCGGATACAGAATTTTGTGTAAAGCGTAACCGTAATTAGTGATATTCTGAAGACTTCTATGACCACCTGTTTTGGCTTCTTGATGGTAAAACTATACCACTTATAACAACTATGTTACTAAATGCATTATACAACATGAACACACACGGAAACAACAAATCTCAAGTATTAGCAAAACAGAAGAAAGTACAAGGCTATTCTGAAAAAAAAAGTTGGTCATTCAGAGCAGGACCAAAAGCAATTCTACACAGAGCACAGAATTATCCAAACACTTTCTAGCTTTATTCCTCAAGTGTAGCTGAGTTGACATTGTATAATTAGAAGTCTCATTTTTCATCTGTTTACATATTAGGCAGGAACTCCCTAAGTAAGTCTTCTACTGTACTGTTTAAATAGTAATATAATGCCTTCAGGTATTATGATTCAATTCAAACCTTTCCTTTTCTTCCCTGAGCATGCAAATTATTCGATTACTAGCACATGCACACGTAGCTGTCTCTTGCTCCTTCATTCCATTACGAACACAAACTATAATTTCCTTTTTCTCCTCATTAAGATGCAATTTATCCTGGGTTGGCTGTGAAACTACTTGGTTTTTTACTTGCTCCTATGCTACATGTTTAAGGTCATGCAAGAGCTGGAGACCTATAAAAAAAATTGTAATAGATGGAAGACAGCACCCCATAAATTAGACAATACCACAACAAGGAGAGAGGTCTAGACACTAAGGCCATCCCAGAAGAAACTAAGACCATCCCAGACTCTGGAATTACAGGCAGAGAATGCTAGGATTCAATACATATATTTGAACGTCTTCTACCATGCAAATAGTTAGCAAGCTCTCTTTAAACACAAGGGCTGTTTCCTACAATTAGTTGTGTTTTCTTTTGGGCCAAAGCGAAACGACCTCAGGGAGAATGATGAACAAAAACAAGACCCAGCTTCATTGGTGGTTCCATCCTATGTGCATGCCAAAATGCACTGTATAACATGGTATGGTTGGTAAAATTCTTTAGGGAACCACACACAACAGCCAGCATAAGCTGGGTCTCCAAGCAGTCTATGTTTTACCCACTTTAACACATGGCATACTCATGAAACAGTGAGAATTAGAATTGACATGGGTACGGACAGCCACAAAAAAAGAAAGATTACTAGAGAACATGACATGTCCAGGGGATATTAATAGAAGGAGGAATTTTTTAGATAAGCTACAGAGATCTAGCCCATGTCTCTGCCATTTTGTGTGAGACTGACTGATGCAGGCATCTTGGTCCTTTTCCCTCACCAATATAGAGGGCTAAGACTCATAATACTGAAGTTATGCAAAATTTCATTTTAAATCTACTTTAAAGACAATTGATGCTTGGTGTTTTGCACCATAAACGTAAAGATAGCATTCTTGATCCACCTTAAGTTTGTTTTGTCATATTTAACGCATGCCAGGGGTTAAGCGACGTATGTATAGAGACCAAAAAGTAGTGAGATCATATGATCTCAGTTACGCTGTATTAGCATTCTGACAGATCCATTCATTCAAAAGTACTAAAGTGTGTATTGCAGGAGCCTGAAATAAAAGTAAAATAAAATTTAAAAAGTGGAATCCTATGTGCCTAAAGCTCTTTTATTTATTTGCTTTGTAAACCATACTTCTATCACTTTGCAAACTTTGAATCAACTCAATAACGTTTTACAATATAGAAAGTGTCTAGACCTAAATTAACAGTAAGAAGACAAGAGCAGCGTTTCCAAACGACACGTCAAGAAAAAGACAAATGAAAAAAGTTTTTGCCCCTTTTAGAATTACCTGACAAACTTTGTTTTATTTCTTTTAAACAGAAGATAACTCATGCGGTTAATATGCTGAACAGATATGGACATTTTAAAGTACCAGTTACTGTAGATAACACTCACCTGTAAACAATTCTCTCCCTCTGCAAATCCTCCAGACCACAGCACAACTCTGCAGCATAGAAAATAGCCCTTTCTTCATCAAAACCAGGATTTCCCATGTTATATATGTGAAACTTCAAGTCTCCTCCATTCATTATGGTTAATACTAAACACAGGGCATCTTTTGTCTCATAGGTGTAGGATAAACTAACCTAAAAAGGAGGCAGGAGGAGGAGACTTTTTTCCACTCATATACCAAATACAACACAACACTTAAACCGCAATACAATTGACAGTTCTTTTTCCAATACAGTAATATATGAACTTTCTTAAAAAGCCAATGGAGAGTCACTACTGTCCACTGAGGTTCATGCTCTGAACAACCTGCCCTCTTCATCTTCCCGAGGTAAGGTACTTGAAGACTCCATCCATACAATGGATTTATTGATGATGCCTCAGCTGCCTGTTATATTATTCTTTATAAAGATAACTTGCACATGTACCTTATTTTATTAATACCTCAGCAATTGCCCATTTTCAAAGCACCTTTCTGAGGCTCTTCAAGAGTCAGTCATATAAAATCAAATGCCTAATTTCTATTCCTTTTTTTTTGCTTCAAATTATTGCATATTCCCTGGCTTTCATACTTGTCAACAGTAAGACGGACTTAGTACGGCTCTTTACAGTCTTTCCTCTCACTGTATTCAGAATGACATATTGATGGGACAGAAAGAACAAAAATTTTCTTCAGTTTTATATAAATGTTTGGAAAGCACATGAAGTTTTAAAGTTGAATTGTGAATCTAAAGGAAAATAATTTTACAACAATATAGTAAACTGCAAAATGTATTATGTTGTCTAAGCTACAAAATCAAATTTAATGGAAAAAAAAAAAAAGGCTATGCTATTGAATATCTAGCAAGATCTTAAAGTTACCTTAACCACCTAGCTAACTTGTATTGAAAGCAATGGGATTTAAACATTTACTTAGCTTCCATTTCCTAAATGGAAACTAAACTAGCAGTTTTTGGTTTTTTTTGACTCAGTAAAAATATTTTTAAATGCAGCACAAGCACACAAAGGCATAACTCATTAATAACACAAAACCTTTCCTTCAGAAGAAGCATAAATGGAATAATAAATAAATAAATAAATATACAAATCAGCTACTTATATCAAGGCTTCACATATGATGGTTTAAACCAGTTAGGTTTTACATCCATCTACGCAGCTATTAATGACTTCAGTTCTGCCACATCCATGAATAACTACCTTATCCACTTCCAACCCAGTATTACTACAGCTCTTAGATCTAGATCTTCTCTGTTGCATTGAGACACTACTGGATGGCTAAGGAAAAGACTTATGCTCACCATTATAAAATGATTTTGAGTTAAAATTTGTTGCATTATTAATACTTATATACGTTGAAAGAATTACTCATAAATGGAAGTTTCATTCTGCATATCTCAAATCTCTCTAGAGCTAGTAATTTCTGGAGAGCAACTTACGCCTGTGAGCCTTGCGAATAAAGAACATTAGCATACTTGTACAAAATCATTATTTATACCTGTTTAATGACTTCATGCATCTGGCTAGCATGTTTTTTCATTTTTCTTTTTAGCTCACAGCATTCTGAAGTTTTTTTTTTGTTTTTAATACAGAAAGCTTAATGGAAAAAAAATTTGTTTTTAATTAACCTCCAATTCCCTCCAAATCAGGTACTTTAAAGTCAGCTCTGAACAGTAACAGAGAAATGTATCAGTCAATGAATTTAAAAACAAAGTAAAGTTCATTTACATCACAATAATTCAGTGAAGGAGATAGACATTACCTGGGGAAAAGTTTACGTGGTATACACGGTCTTTGATCCGTCTAAGCTATTAGATTTGCTGCTTAGCAATTACAGTTAATAATAGACCATAAAATATATGATAGCATTAGACAAGAGCGTTAAGACTAAAATTTTAATTCTGTGGAATTTCTATTGAGAAGTTATGGTAATTGTTTCATATCCAATATACCTCTTTCAGCTTTAGTTCACAGCAAAGCAGTATAACTAACCTAAATTGAAACAGTAGTCACTTTCATGTTTATCTTGAAATGCATAAGCACTACAGCAATGAATGCTATCAAAATACCTAAAGAGATAAAAGATTTAATATTAAAAAAAGGCACAGAAACACAGGAAACATAACTTCTAATGGCAATTAAATAGCAGACCTCCCATGAAGTCAGCCCTTTGGAAGTGCATTTATGAATGACTTCCAAAGATGAAGTTACAAACCAGTGTTTACCATAAGAAAATAAGCATATAGGAGTGGAGTAGGAGGTAAGAGGGGAAAACAGAGCAAGGGATTGGAAGAAGAGATAAAGAAGAGAAACAGAAGAGGTTAAAAAAAAAAAGATGGAACAAGGTATATGGAATATCTTCTTTATTAACCCTAAGCAACCATACTTAATCACAGGCTGCAGCAGAAACAGAAATTAAGTTATTATTCAAGTCTGAGTACTATATCCGCCTTTAAACACAGGACAGATTTAGGGGCATCTGCATCCTGAAACAGAACCTAACGTTTTGGTTATAAGTGAGAAAAAGCTGCCAGGCTAGAACCAATTCAATACTGGATGTAAAAACCTTCTGCACAGAGCTACTTCACACACAAGATGTACTAGTCTTTATATCAATCATTCCTCTTTGCAGTCACATGCTCTTTAAATCAATTGCAAAACGTCTTGCGCCCATGAGCTTCTGGAAGAGACCGAAATGAAACAAACAGCGGGAGACAAACTTCTGTGAACAAGAGCAGAAGAAGATACTTACTACAAACCTACTATTCACTTTTTCTAGAATTCTTTTTTCGTTTAGAGCCATTGATTCTCCTTTCCTCTTCTTTATTCTCTTTTTTTCTAGTTTTTTACAAGCATACATTTTTCCTGTTGCCCGCACTTGACAGGCACACACCTAGAAAAGGGAAGGCATGTCAGAGGCACCAGTCTTTTTTTTCTCTCATTTTTTTCAAACTCCTGAACGATCTCAGAAAATGAGTCTAGAAGACTTAATACACAGCATTCACCCATGAAACAATTTAAGAGGGCCACAAAAGCTGTAACAGAAATGGAAAAGATGGTTACACAGGAGCAAACCTATTTTTGTTAGGGGTGAATGCTTTAGTAAAACTGTGTATCTTGTACTGGTGAAACATTTGCATTGTATATGTCTGGACAAACAGGACAGAGGACAAACATCCACACCATAATCAAGTGGGAGAAAGATAATGACATTTTAGTAACCCTTCTTCTCCTTCAATACTGGCATGCAAGCAAAACATTTGGTTTGTTTCTTTAAGTAGTGAATTATTAACACAATGAAACCTGAAGATTTTCATATCAAGTTCATGTATGTTACATACTAAGTAGAAACAAAACTACGTTCTCATTGCCAAATAAAAAAATATCTCAGCAGAATGCTATGTAACTATTGTTGTAGTCAGTGAAAGCTTCTCCATCTCTCTGCATGACCTCCAGTATAGAGACTAGCACATTAAAAGATAACGGTTTGGACTGATGACAGTTTGGCAGTCGATACGTCAGAAGTAGATTGTTAACGGAACCAAAAGATAAAATCATTTTTTCCTCTGCATTAAACTTTAATGATTGCCTCATAGAAAGATGCCTCAGTACTCACCTCTCCAAATCCACCTTTGCCTAGCACTCGGTAATGCCTAAATGTGTGTTTGGTTACTGGTTGCCTGATTAACAGAAAGAAACAATCACTGTAACAGGAATTACAAAAGTCTGTAATTCCCTCCCGCCCCAAGGTCAGTCTTCATTTTCTCCTTCCTGTTCTGAAAAACATCTGAACAAAATGTTGCCTTGACCTCATGAAGACAGCGTTATATAACAAGTTGAACGTCAAAGGAAAGGGGCACCCTTACTAGAAACACCGGTTCCCTCATGTGGTCATCAAACATTCACAATAACAGGAAAATAAGAATAAAAATAAAAATAAAAGAAAAGAAGAACAGATCAATTAGGCCTTATGCTGTTTAGGATGAGAACAAGTAAGGCTCAAAATGATGGTCAGCTTATCACCTCCAGCTGGCTCCCTCAGCTGCACTAGGCTGATACTTAGGCTGCTTTTCAATCAGATCCTGCTTACAGTGCCATATTGGAAAGGTAAACAATTTCCAATTTCCCTTTACAATGAGTTATGGTGTACAACAGCAGTTCAGGGCTGATTTGACAAACCGTTCAGGTATTGATGTAGTAGCAGAGGAACAGACAGTCGGAGGCAGTAAACTTGCCAGCCATTCTATGCTAAAGTATTCCTAAACCCGCATGAGAGCAGGGCTATTTCATGGTGGTGAGGTTTGTTTCTTTAACGAGCGATCAGTGTTAATGCAGTCCAGTTTTCAGGGAAGCAAATGGAACTTACTACGTTCATTTGGTAGAGAATTTGGTTTAACTGAGTTATGTCCCTAGTTCTCTTCCTGAGATAGAAATCTTGGTGAACTGGAGCTGAACTGGACCTCTCTACCACCCTGAAAAATGCATTAGTTACCCAGTCACATGATGGGTTTTAAAACCATATTAATTTGCTCACTAGTCACAAATTAGACCATGTCTGAAACCAAATGCTGATAGAAATTCCAAGGGCTGGTATCCCACTACACACTTTACAGCCAAACATATATGGATACGATAATAAGTTTGTATTCATCTAAAATAAATTCACCACTTAAGAGGCGCCTGCACAGATACTTCAGCCAGGGTATCGGCTCTAACTGTTCCATCAATATCATCCTTTACATCTTGTCTTTCAGATCATAATTTCTCAGACAGGTAGTGTCATTCATTAGGGCTCTACGGTGTTTAGAGCGTAACAGGCAGAGTTGGCCACAAAACAAAATATAAACATCATAAACGAACTTACTTTTCCAGCCATTTCCACTGTAAAAAACGGGAAAAATACACACTATCTTGGTAAGCTTCAAAAGGTCCTCTGCTTAAATATTCATGGACAACTCTAAGGATGGGAAAATAAAAATCAGTCCATTTTATATTGACAAACTGATGAAGCAGGAGATGCTATCAGTTTTTTAAAACCATACACATCAGTGAAGCTGTAGGCAGAAGAACATTGTCACTGACTGTGCTCTCCTGTGGTTTTAACCTATGCATCTCACAAAGCGAGCGGCTAACCGTCACACAGAACCATTCCTGTCAAAACACTAGTGAATGACAAGCTACTCCTACTTACTACAGTAACTAGACGTTTGATGTATATGTTCTCGTTAACTATGTTTAAGCCCATCTAAACAGTATTATCAGGTGAAGGTACTTCCGATATAATAATGCCAGTATTTATGCATAAGGAAGAAATTCTCCCCTCACCCCACCACCCAGCTCTACCATAAGAGGGCAGGGCATAAAGTGCAGAGAAACACAAACATTTCAGAACAGCTTATCACAGTTACTCATGTAAGACCACAATTCTGCTGTCAAAAGGCTGGTCCTAGCACTTTTTCAGATAGTCCTTTAAGAATTTTGGGTATACCAGAATGATAGTATTGGAAGAAAACCGGGGGGTGGGGGGGTGGGGGGGGTGAATGCTAAGTTTAAGTTCTTTTACTTGGCTTCCATATTCCATCCATGTACAATTTCTTCTCAGATTTTTTTTTAAGCTTATCCAGAGGCAGCAACGTATAAAAATTTTGCTGCAACCTCTAACGTCTGCTCACTTAGAAGCACTGTTTCACAATTCAGTGGCTAACGTCCCACCTACTCCCAAAAGCGTGCTGTCTCATTGTCAACCTACTGAGGCACCCAAACTAGCTCAGTAAAAGGCAACACACTAGTGTTTTATAAGGACTTACCTTAGTAATTGCTTCATCAGTAAAACACAGGCTCTCTAAGGTTACTTTAGAACTGCCAAAAAGCCTTTTTAGCAAAACGAGAGCTCTCAAGACATATGACAATTAATGAACGCGTTTAAAAGCAAAGTTATCAGAAAGACAGTCCGGCAGAGCTGATTAATTTCAATTTGTAGCGCTGACCCGTGTAGCTAGAACACAAGTATTTTATGGTTCAGAGCAAAGTTTTTAAAAGCAAAAAAAAAAAACTGTCTGAAATAGGCTGAAGTACGCTAATCACTGTTTAAAAAAAGTATTTAAAACAAAATTTTCCTTAAAGATTAATATTAAACAGGAGGCATTAGAAGAGTCAATTCCCAAATCCTTTTCAGCATAACAAAGATACAAAATAGTATACGTACTCAGACTCTAAATATTTTGTTGGCTATTAATTAAAAAGAAAAATTAACCTGCCTCAGCTTCACTGCTGAGAATGCAGGGCTAGAAAGTCGCAGGTAAAGTACCACGTCCCCTCTTCGAAGCAGACAGAAGAGAGTCAAAAAGACTGATACCTCATTTAGAAAGAGAGCCTCTCAGTAGCTATGCAATGCAATGCAACTATGACCCCGCAAGTATGACCTCAGAAAGATATTTACAGGAAAGGATCTACCAGTTACCCTACATTCTTTGAAGGAAGGTAAAGGAATTTTTGTTCTAGAATTTGAAATTTCAATACTAAACGACACCTCCAAACCTGAATGCCATGTATCTTTGTCCTTCCCCTTAAGCTAAAAACCAAGGTGAAAAAGAAATTGGGGAAACATCAGACTGTATCCAGACATTTACTGGACAGAGGAAAGAGGATGACCTACAAGACAGAATATCCACTCGAGACAAGTTTTACTAGCTGTTCTCACATATCCCTTTCAATCTTCCAGTCTCAAGTATACCTATTTTCTGTTGCCAGGGTGATGACCCAAGCACTGACAAAACATGTTGCAAGCCTTCAGACAAACGTGATCAAGCATGCCTTGAAGAACCAGTAATATTAGAAACATAAATGCTCTAGAAGGTCTTGGGACATTGGCAAATATGTACTGTCCCTCCAAGAAAAGCCTTCCTTGCAGCAGGTGTGTGAAATATCACCACATGACTTCAGAACAAAACCAAGCGTGCTATCTGCAGTCTGTGTTAACTATTTCAATCAATCCTTTAATCAGCTATCCCAACAGAATATAACTGCTAGGCTGAGTGCAATACATTTTCAAGAACCATGAAGTGTACAACATTGTTCACAAATCTTTCAAGCCTGCATTTATAACTTCATATTTTCCAAGTACCTTCAACAGGGAAGAGCACTCACTACCAAAAGGTAAAAATATATTAAAGAGAAATACTATTCTAAATTATAATAGATAAAGAGATAAACCATTTGCAGACAATAGCATGATTTTATGCAATAAATAAGACAGGCTTTAATGATCTCAGCATTAAAGGGAAAAAAAAAAAACCTCTTCAGAAGTCAGGTATTTAAACCGTGTCTGAAAGAAACCTAGTCCTGTTCCTAATTTCCAAACTCTTGGGTCTTACCCATGTCAGAGACCAAGTACTGTGTGCAGCATGTAGTAACTTCACCTTTCATTTGTCTCGGACAGACATGAAGTTCTCTCGCAATACTTAAACTTAGCATTATGCATTCTTAACTTACCTGGTACAGTCCATAAAAAGATCTTTAGAAGGGTTCTTTTCCAGTCTTGCTTTACATTCATTTACTGTCTCCTGAGGTATTTCTGGCAAGTGTGCTGCAGACTTTACATAATGCAAGAAAATGCAACAATAAAGGCAATTTTGCAACTTGAAAGAATCAGAAGTTCTGTATTTAAAGTAAAATAAAAACTTCTAATACAGGAAAAGGAAAAGAATGGTCTTGACAAGAGAGAACACCAGAAAAGTCAAAACTGGGCAAAATTTATATTTGTTCCCTATTACAAAGAACTGCAATAACTTTCAATGCATTTCTACTGCAATACCCTAGGAAATACATTTGGTAATAATTCTACTTCTTCTTTCAATAGGCCTGCCACCACAAAAGCAAGTATCTATCTGGTTTGGCAGGAAGGGAAAGGTGGGAGGGAAAAAATATGCAGTTTGGGAAACTATTTCAAACCAGTTCAAAGAAATCTGTTTTTCAGCAAAATTGCATTTTACCTTTGGCAATCTCAAAGAAAGTATCAGAGGAGATGCGACTAACTTGAGTCTATCCACTTTTATGGCATCTAGAAGACGTTCATTTGAGGTAAAACCTTCTGAACTATCATTTGACTTTGTGAAAAGCTGTAGCAACTCTATAAATGTATAGGTAACTGATCAGGGCCACACAGGAGTAAACAAGAAAAAAATCCATCTGACTTTCAGAAACTCCTCATTCTCATGTCCCCAGACTGTAAAACTCTGAGTTACTTTGTTAACAAGTCTTCTTTAGATGCAAAATGATGAATATATCTTCACTTGAGACAAGTATTAAAAAAAAAAAAAAAAAGCAGGAGAATAAGTTATGATGGTACTAGTTTTAAACAAGAGAGAGCAACCAAGGTTTCTGCTCAAGCTGATACACAGTTTCACAGTTTTAGAAGGTAGTATAATGTTTCAGAAAGTCAAAAATGGGACCAGTAAAGTTTGGAACTCAATTTATTAAAAGCGATGCAGCCACTCATTCTTTAGGTTTCTAACTTATCTAACGTTTACACTAAATTTGACAGAATACTTTGCAATGTAATATTTACCCCGTTAGTGAAGTAGGTCTCTAAAACTTTCAGGCCACAGTCTATACGCTTTTCATCTGAAGATACCTCATACTCTGCCTAGTGGAATGGAATTGAAAATTAAATTACATTCAGAGTTATTTAGTACTGCACTCTTTAACGTGATGCTAGGCAAATTTTAACCACAAATACCAGGATGCTCCTAATAGGAAACTGAATGTTCTCACTGTTTTAAATCTATTTAAAGAATTTTAGGCTACATAATTCTTTAGCCTAAGAATTAGGGGGGGGGGAGGGGAAACACACATGGAATTTAACTTTTAAAAAATGCATTGAAACCAGTAGTTTGACTAGTTTCAGTTACAGAAGCTACATCTTAGAGGTTAAAGTAGAGATAAAATTACAGTGAAACAATGTATATGTAGTGTTGCAGTGCAGAGTGATCCAAATGTTTTTCTTTACTATAGTCTTGGTAAATCTGGTATAAGACTATGAAGTAAAGAAAAAGCTGATTACTGTATTCTTATTCTTTAATTATTTATTGTTACTTCCTACAAGGCCGTGTTGACTGAAAATAAATGAAATCTCAAATAAACCCGACTTCATTCCTTGATAAAAGGAAACTGAGTAGTTACAAAATTTTACGATGTTTTTCGTTTCGTAATATATGACATTGCAATATAAAGACAGACCACTGTGCAATAAGGTATATTATGCTGATTAAGAACAGGCAGCTTGATAGATCTTGATAGCTACTTTAAAAAAAAAAGAAAACATGCAGACAAACTGGTATTAAAAAACTCCAAGGACTGGTTACTATTAATAATTTCAAGGAATACTTTTGAAGCACTTATCAAAAATTATGACTTTCAAAGGTAACACAGAACCTGGTAGAATGATGAACTAGAAAAGAACAAATCTCAAACAGTATCTCAGTCTGTATTAGTTCGGTAAGCTGGGCCAATTCAATTAAAACGACTTCATTTCATATCTCAAAATGTACATGCATGCATCTAGGAACAAAGAATATATGGCAGACCGCCAGAACGGAGGACTATACTATACAAAACAACATTTTGGCATCTTGGGACAATAATCATTAAGAATCTCAATGGAAGTCCACGCGACTGATCTAATCAGCAGAAGAGAAGTTATGTAAAGAAAACTATACAACTAAAAATGACTCTTCAAGAACAAAATAAACACCCAAGACTGGAAATACAGAATCCCTAAACTTCATTTCTATGATCAGTTAACCAACCCACACTAAATCATCCACACCTCCACCTGCTGAAACATTATGGTGTCAACCACTTGAAAACAGCACTCAAACCCATCAACAATTTGAAGCTATTGGTTTTGCTGCTTTACTTCCAGAGCAATCAGTCCAATGGTAAGGAATTCTTCTGCACCTATCACGCAGCCTCAGCAGGTCGGAATAGTTAATCAACCACAGCAATGCCCTTACCATCTTTAACATTTTCAATTATGTCAAAGCAGTCACTAACTTTGAACAGTTAAGCATTCTGTTTTAAGCAGATATTGCAATTTAAAAGGAAGTTTAAGAGACAGTCTTGTCAACTAATTTCTATTACTCACAAAGTTTCACAAAGAGAAGTTTGAGTTGCCACCCATTCTTTTTCATGCTTAAGTAACCTTCTCCCCAGCTACTGAAATGAGTCACTAGATGATCAGATTAATTTAACTCTCTAATTTCTGTCCCTTATATTCAATTATTTCACAACTCTTCCTCCTGTAAAGCCACAAGTTGACTACAGACTGCAAGGCCATACCTTCTCAAGCATTAAAGCTTATCAGTCTTAGTACTCAAAACATGAAGACAATGTAAGATTAGACTGTCTTGTATTTGTCATTTTGGCCTTCTGAAATAATCATCCTTCACATGGGTGAACCGGAAAACTCTATAAATTAAGATGCCAGGCCCCTTAAGACTCCCTACAGTCATTTTATGCCAGAAAGTTTATTCGCAAAAAAATTTTAAGTCTAAAATTAATTTTTAAAAAATCTGACACAAATAACCAAAAATAAAAAGCCCATGGCCTTCCCCTTCGCATTAACACCATGAAGGGCCCCTCACAAAAAAAACAACCTTAAACAAGTTTGCTGAAGAGAAAAAGAAAAGAGAAGCAGGCTAACTCAGGAACCATGTGTAAGGAAGGGCATTATAGGCATTATATCTCACTTCCTTGATCAAGAGAGCATGCTAGCTTTCAGATTGTGAGAGGCACAGATTAAAGGTTATCTCAGCTCTTAAGAGACTTCTTATTTCTGTGATTTCCAAGTGATTCTTCAACACTGTTCTCTAAATGGAAGATTAAAAAAAGAGTAAATTGAGAAATTGTCCCGTAGATCACAACTATGAAAAAATGTTTTATTTATGCTAGTGTTGCAATCCACATAACATCATAGGCTGCATATTTCAAAGCAAGTCAAAGTATTCAGTTAGTGTAAAACACAGTTATTTTATCTGAAAAGGGTCATCTGCACAGCAAAAAGAGCCATGCCTTACAGTTACACCTAACATTTTTCTCCTTTGTGCTAAGATTCTACTTTTCCTTATCTAAGCTTTTAAGGATTAAAAACGTGTACAAAAGTTGTGACCATTAAGAGTGCATCCAGATTTGTCAGCAGTCTCCCCATTGCACGTTGCTCATCAAAGCCTCGGGTGTACATTCAACTCAAGATATTTAGCTCTCCTGTTTGGATTTCCATTAAATCCATTCTGTGTCTCCAGTTGGCCTCTTGGTGAGCTCCCGAGAGTCAAAAAGTACATCTTGGGTGAAAGGCACCTGGAGAGTAGGCCTAACTGCACAAAGATGCATCAACCATGGAAAAAATAAAAATAAAAGAGTGTTCACTAATGTTAAGAGTCTTTCTCATTCTATGTGGTGATGAATCTCTGAAGATAAGACACTGATTCCAACAGAATAAAAATGTCCTTCTTGATTCCAGAGATGAAAAGCTACCAAAAAGAAAAACACACACAAACAAAAGGCACCTCTGGGGTTTATTTCACACTGAAAACTCCTTTTCACCTGATCAAATGTCTCAGTTTATGCTCCTGCAGAGGGAAGGGAGACATGGCGAGGTAGAAGGGCAGCACAATAATCCAGTCTACATCCTTACATCCTGCACCTTTCAGAGCGATCTTTTCTGAAGCTTTATTTTGGGACGCATGTAAGCAGAAGTACTACCCTACTTAATTTGTTCCCTTCTTATAAATAGAACAAAAATGGGCAGGATAAGGAAAAATGTTCTCTTGGCAGCAATCTCAGCTTAAAACTACACCTCCGTGCTCTTTGATCAACTATGAGGGAAAAAGATAAAGCTCTGAGCTATCATTCTCTCAAGTGAGAGCAAAACGTCACCAGGCTGTCTCATCTGCCCTCCTCTTCTTACTGCTTTCCCCCTCTCTGTGAGGACTTTGCTTTGGGATTTTGACAAAATACAGCTGTGGGCATGCTTCTTCCCTCCTCTCTGTCTCTCTCTTAAGCGTGAGATACCAAGATGTAAACGCATCAAGACACACGCTTCCTTTCCCCTCGTTCTCTGGAATTTGGTTTCTCCAGGAGTTTCTTTAAGTTTCCATCTCTATTGCATTTTTTTAGTTAGCAGATTCTGTCTAGCCTAAGGCTTCCTTGCAAGTTGCAACATTTTCAAGTCTGTGCTCACATCGTAAGTAATACTCATTGCATACACATCTTGTTAGGCTCAAAGTCAAACACAGCATGGTCTTTCCAAAATTCTTTCTCTCATTCCCATCATGACCATTTTTGTAGTTCTGACCACATCAAGATGACAGAGATTTTACAGTAAATACATTTCCTTTAATTAACAGAGTCAGAGTTTGTTGACACTCATCAAAACTTGCAGCTTAACAGTTGGCCAAGAGTCAATTTTATTATATTTCCATGTAAATTTTCATGCACAAATATGTTTAGAAAAAATTAACATGTTATAAACTTCAGAAGAAACTGTTCCCTAAAACTATTGCCTGCTGGTATCAATCCCTGATTTATCACTGCTTACCACTGCATCCAGGAATTCAATGCACCTTTTCAACTCCGGTCTGGAATCACAGAACTGCCTGAAGAGAAGTCTTCCTATAGGCTGTTTGTCACAAAGCTGATTATAGTCTTTTCCTGAGCAAGAGACGAGAAGAAATAAATATCTTTAATAAAAGGCAGCGTGTTCCTTACTCCCATTTGAGAACGGGTCAGAAAACATCAAGATTTCATGGTAACATATTTAATAACGACATCAAAAACGGATGCAGTGATCACAAAGAATATTGAAAGACTTCCTTCTAGTCTCTTACAGCCTATCACATTTATTAAGAAAAAAATATCTAAATTAAGTTCCATGTGGGAAGGGGGTAGGGAGAAGAGGAGGAAATAAAAACCAAGGCAGCTCTGAAAGGCAAGGCAAATAAGATCGTTTTGGAAAGAAGTATAGCGTAAGAAAAGAAAACGTTAACAATTATTAAGAGAAATAATGGGAAAAAGTGAAGTACATTTCTCTCTCACTCAGGTTACAACATGATTCCTTTTTCCAATTCATGGCTTAGTGAATTTTTCTTTTAGGATTAGTTTAACACGTAAGGAGCTGCAACGCAACTTTTACCTTCTCATAAAGTCTTCATTACATTAAAAGGTCTAATATCTTTTTTTGTTGTTGTTAATGAGCATTGAGAAGCAAGAAAGAAGCCTTTTACTTAACACCACCAATCGCTCCCCCTTCCTTCCCAAAAAAATCAGACGGACCATTTACAGGACACCTACCAATTGAATGTCTAATACCTTCACAATAACTAACAGGCGGCAACTTCAGCATCTCTTTCCATTTTTTACTACGTCCACTCCGTTTTCCTAGAAGAGAAATATAAGAGTAACATAAAATACAATACTGTGTCGGAATATATTCTGAACTGAGTAAAACTCGATCACTTCTGTGCAGATCTGTCAGAATGCTTATTTTGCCTACAAAGAAAATCTATCTACAAGGATATCCAAACCAGTAACAAAACTGATAAAGAGGAACTTTCACATGAAACACTAAAAAAATGCTGAAAGTCCTTTCCAATATAAATATTTTGCATTTTGGCTATGCACACAAATATCTAGATATTCTGAAAGTTCTGTACAAAACTGGACCAGCAACAACATGAGAAACCAAAGAGTTATGTCTCAACCATGGTCAAGAACAGAAGGTATTGAAGCTGAGTAACAAAATACACAGTTTTTAAATGAGTTTTTGGGTAATCAAGGGTTTTTGTTTTTGTTTTTGTTTTTTAAGGGCAGTAGTAGTGATAACAATAGGTCCCCACTGATGAATAAGTAGGCATTACGCAAATACATATCTTTTATTCTGGACTACAGGAGGCACACACAATATCGGACAGAACTTAACTGTTGTAAAATCTAGATCTTTTCATTCCTTGAGATTTCACAGCAGTAGCATTAAATTTATTAAAAGAAACTGCTATGGTATTTTCCCCATTGTTTCTGTCAAAAATATATTTGTGCTCTGCTTTCTACATTAAAATTAGAATTTTAGCATGTTTACTTAGACCTGAAGAAGCCAAGTTTCTTGGCAGAGGATATGCATACTTATCAGAAAAGATGAGACACAGATACAGGACCACTTTTTTTTTTTTTTTTTTTTAACTGCAAAACATTTCAGTAGAAGAGTAATTTTCGTGCCGCAAAATATTTTAAAAGATGATTTTACTACATGATATGGCCAGATGTGTTTCCACATGATAGAACAGCAGCAAAGGTACACATACTTTCTAACCGTAGCCCAGCACTACATAGTTAACCACAACGGGAGAGAAAGGAAGGGAGTTACCCAAAGCAACCTGAATAGAAACCAAGCAGCAAACTTTGCTCTCAAGTCTTTCAGAATTAAATAATCAGGGGGAAAGGAACTAACATTGTCAGAACAATAAAACATATATATTATCTCTTCACTCAAACATATAGTTTCTTTAAGAGGACCATCACTGCAGTCAGAGTGCTTCCAGCTGAGTGCACCTTAGCTCATAGGAAGATTTACATGCTCTTTTCTAACAGGAACTCTGATATGTTACCGTGCTGCTGCCACAAACACTCTTAGCTCTAGTATAACCAGAAAAGTAAACAAATAAGGAATACAAAACCTTAAAAAGCTGGCTTGCAGGTTATTTGAACTGATACCTACTCTCTGAAAAAGTTCTACTGCGCTCTTACGTCCTAATGCTGCTTTATAAGTCATTCACCTTCCAAAGTATTTTACAATACAGACACTTCAAATTTATTTCCTCCCTTATGTAGTCTCAGAATTAATCATGAAGTCACAATACTACTGGCACCATTAAACCCAACTCCTCCTAGTTTAACAAAGTGTTTTGACGCTCCAGTTAAAAACAATAACAAAGCTGCATATATCCTTGCTCTGTGCAGTTCGATTTTTCAGAGATGCATTTCCAACAGAAATGATCACAAGCAAAAAAAAAAAAAAACAAAACTCAATAACAACAAGAACTATGAACACTTTACATACATAACCTGTAAGCATATTCTGAACAGAAAAGGACTAGATATAGATCGTTACATGATATTAAGAAAAATACTAGACAGAGGCTTCCACCTTTCGTTCACTCGCTTTTAAACTGTGCAACTGAAAAATCATGCTAGGCTGCAAGGACCACAGAAGGTAAATTTCTTTTGTTAGAAACTGCTCATAAAAGACTTATTTCTGCACGACACAGCACAATGAACACTGACCAAAAACGCTCAACTAACCCAAATTCATATCACACTGTTTTTTGGGAGAAATAAAACTGAACTGTGACATAGCCTATGTCACCTTCTGAAGCACAGTCAAAGAATGAAATACCAAAGAGAGGATCACCGGTGCTTTATACATTATCTCCAGTTCAAGAAAGTCTGCAGTCTTTTGCCCCAAATATTTCACAAGTTACTCACTACATCACCATTATAAACTTGATTTTACAAAAGAGACTTTTCACATATCATAAGGCAGTTGAATTCACCATCTGATAGAAGTTCAGTAAAGACTACATAAATTATTAGTGATACACAAGAATCAAGTGCTTTATGAGTATCAATAAATCACCACGCTTTCTCTTTTCTCTGAATTGACTGTTCTTACACTTACAGTGAAGACATAGAAAAAGTTCATTTATCCCAGTAACGTAAAGAGAATGCATGACCACTTCATTTACAGATAAATTTGCCGTTTCTGGTAAAAGTTACTGAGGGGGACAATTTGTTGCTCCAATTATTCCCTAATGGCAAAATCCTTTTCCATTTCTGAGGCAGTTCAAAACAAGTAACAACTCAAATTATAACAACTGTGGTTTGTAAGAGCGTCTTAATATTGATTTCAGAGCTTTTGTTCTAGATCTCATTGTGCAATGCTCGAGATAAAATTCTTCCAGAGAGACCAATAGTTCGCTTTCCAACACAGCGGCAACAAAGCCATTAGGTTAGTCTGCTTTATGGCTGCCCTACGTGCTTCAGATTAATTACCACTTTTGCCTCTTTCAGATGTAATTGGCTAGAACAAAGTCCAATGTGAAGACACTCATCTTTTATAAAAAGAAGGGTGGATGCAGCAACGCACCATTATGACGAGGAAACACTGCAATTACATTTTTGAGTACATATGAGAATGTTACCTTCTTCTCTTACCCAAATTATGCCTTAGAGGCTTTTACCTCTTTACATGTTTTTCCTTAAAAACTCCGTTAGATCATTCCACTGGAGTATAGTATGTACAAGTTTTTAAATATTTCAATTTTTCATCTTTTTAAGCTTAAGAGCAATGTTTGAACAACTTATGTACGACAAGAAACAAGTTTAGACAGCTAAGAATATTTTTCAAAGCATCATGTGGACTTCCAACACCCACAGTCATCTTCTTTATAAGCAGTATGTGTACATACTTTCCTATCACTGAGCACAGTGTTCATTGAACATTATTACTCAGTCTTCCTTAGGACAGGTAGACATAGAAACACTGGATTCTGTCCTACACAAGGAAAGTCATTTCATTGAAAGTATCCTGCTCTTTTGCTAATAAAAGCACATAGATTATATGTGCTAAGATTCAACGGATATACACTGCCACTGAAATTCTGCCATTGAGGTGCTCAGGGACCTCCACGCTTCAGCTTTCCTGCCTGTAAACTGCAAGTAACACAGCACCGATCTGTATGCTTGGGAAGCACACAGCTACACAGCACTAGGAGTGCACGATTGCCACATCACTCTTGCAAAACTGATTCCACAAACCAGATTGTCAGATACCAGCTGAGAATTTCACACGAGGCCCCACCCAGATGAGCTCTGAAAGCGTTCATCCGCATCGAGTAGAGGACCTACAGCATGCTTTTAACTGTATAATCAAGAGTTTTGGTGAAAAATGCAAAAGAATTGACACAGCAGCACTCCATTATCTGCACTGAGATCTGCAAGAATAATCCAAGTACATACACTGTCTGTTAACACATCTGTCCTCATGCAACTTTTTCAGCTGTAAGCAAGTTTCCGACGGAATTTTAAAATGCATGTGAATTAAAATCTCCTCCTACTCACAGCTCATTTCCCTTCAAACCATTCATGATTCAGTGAAGAATCAAAACATCCCCGCCAAACTATGGCTTTATGCTACAAAGGTATTTGTAAACACTGAGCAGCAAGCTTTCACAGTATGCCTTTACTGCAAGACCCACCTTCAAGACATAACATGCTACAGAATTAAAACCTCAGGCCCTCAAATCAGAACGGTAACAACAACGCAGTGCTAACTGCAGGCTAGAGGACAGGCTCACATATAACATCGCTTTAGGAAGGCCTTCTTGCTTCCAATCCCAGAGATTGCTTATATGGTGCTGCTTTTGGGGTCTTTGCACTCTTTTCCATTGCACAGGTCAGATGCATTTTTTGACACCTCAGTTCCTTGAAAAGCATGCACAGTCACAGCTTAACAATTAGGTTTAACAAAGTGGCATCTTCTTTAAAGTACTACATAGAACAGGATTTTTCCAGAAATTTGATACATATAGCTGGCTGGCTCTCAGTAAATCTACCAGAGTCATCTAGCTGAAAATTCAGGTTTCAGTGCAAGGCAGGCACCTAACTCTCCAGCATTACAAAGACGAAGGCAGTTCTGAACACAAACAGAAGCAAAAATGCAAGTAGTTCAGTAATAAATGGATAAAACTAGGCTATCTATAGATTATAGAGTTTTATGGCATTTTTAAGATAATACTCCTTGCACTCCTCATGTGCCTTGAATGGGACTTAAGCAGAGTAATGCCCGAGTCCTCTTGGCTCATCTGACTGTTACAGCAGTAACACTGTAAGCAGTACAAAACACCCCACATATCTATGTGCACATTTGGGCAGGTTGTTTATATGCACAACTATTTAGCGTTTCCACAGCTATAACCACTTGAACAACTGGTTCTTCACATCAGCTCTATATACAATTCAAGTAGTCATTTGCACACTTCAGAATGCCAGTGCATACAGGCTGCACCTCCTGCATTTCTTCAGAAAGTAGGTATGAAAATTTCGTTTCAACTCAAGTAAATGTAACTAATCTGAATTTGAATTTATTATTGAAGTCTCGTAGTCAAACGATACAATCTTGGTGTATGCTTTTTATTTTGAGAGGGTCATAATCAGAACTTAATGAACATGGATTACTAGAACAAAACGGTAAGAAAACTCCAATTTCACAGCTAATTCCTTGATGAGTAAGGGTTGTTTTATCATGATGGTATGCACTGACCTCAGGACTGCAGCAGCTAGAAAAGAAGTTCCTTCAAATAGATTGTGAAACCTCTAGTT